TACAAACAGCTTTATGTAAAATGGAGGTGAGGTTTTTTTTTAACGATTAATTCTATTCCTATCAATATCTCAATAAATACTAAATAAATGTACCTATAAATATGTTTTTAATCTTTTGGTTATATGCTTGACAGATTTCATCTCAAGAACTCAATATCTAAGTACAAAAGTATATGGATATGTATATGCATATATATATATCTAAGTATTTTGGGAAATCTATGACAACGAAAACGTTTTCGTGTTACGCGTTTTATCCTTTTCGACTTCATCAGACAAATCTGGTAATTACGTAAATGTGACTACACATGCGCATTAAGGTAAGTGGACGGTGACATTTTAAGAATATAATTTTAAAAAGTTTTCCCCGTAATGAGTTTGCCCATAATTTTGATTTTAAAACTGCTAATTTTAAAAGAAAAGGCAATTTTGAAGGAAATTCATATTCATTAACATTTCTATCTTTGGTTGGTATAACAGGAATGTGTGATTTCCGGCTCCGTAATACCGGAACTGGCTGGGTATTTAAATATTTTTCCCTAACCTTCACTGTTATTCCAGAAAAGCTGTATATTTAATTTTAACCGGTGTCTTCCTCTTTTGTGTCTCATGTCAAACTGGAACCTTTTACGTTTTCACTTGCTTTCTTATTGTACAAACCAAACCTGTGTCTACATTTTTGTCTCTAGTACAAATTTGTTACATTTTGACTCAAGTGCAAACTGGACTTGTGTCTTTCTTTTTTATCAGTCTATACAGTTCGCGGACAGCTATAAAATATGATCTAAGTGTTAAACGTTTCGTTTCGAACGAATAGTATGTTAAACAAGGTGATATATTATCGACTATTCCGTTTTGTGATGCATTGTCAACTGTTATCTTCAAATGTGAACAAGGGCATAGTCAAAGCTCTTTACTTAGTGTGGGTTATATCATATAAAATCCATCATGTGCAGATCATACCAACTTAACAACGGGCGATCTACATGGGCACCACATATTTTTGAGACGTCGTTCCTATAATGCAAACGTAATAAGCCTTGATTCACGTGGCCTGTAATACAGTCACAGAAAAAAAAATCAGACATGTTTGATATACATGAACCCATTGTAGGAAATTTTTGAATTACGCTTATTACTGTCAATAATTTCGATGGAATAAGGTAGTTTTTTTTTTCATTAAATCCAACTTTTGTGGGATCCAAAACTGCACTGAGAATCGGGATTTCCGCTATTCCCGTCGTCTTCAGTTTTAAGGTTAGGTTTAGAGATACTAATATCAGCTTTAGATTTCAGAATGTCTATTAAAGAATGATGAAGTTTTACCATTGTCCTCTTTCTATTTCTTTTCTGTGAATTTTTTAACCTGTGACTATCTTACCTGGACTTTTCTGTAATGAAAGATAAAGCAGAGAAACAACTTAAATCTCTATCTATAAAAGGCAGGATGTGTGTGTGTGTTTGTGTGTCTGTGTAACGAATGCACGGCCGCAAGTTTCGACGGATTTGCACCAAACTTTACATGCACATGCTCCAAGTTAGCGCGAAGGCCAAGACTGACTTTGCATTTCCCAACTCCCATCGACAGTGGAAATAATCAATTTTTTCATGCTTCTATGGCAGTTTTCATGTAGTTTGCGGCCATTTTCTACTGGCCAGAGTGAGAGCCTATAGCTGGCTGCCACGAATAGGAAGGACGATTCTATTGGCCAGCGTGAGAGCCAACAGCTGACTGACACGAATGTTAACTAGCATGCAAAAAAAATCAATAGCTGCATTCGTCACAAGTGCGAAAAATTTAAATCTGCATGGCACTTTACTCCAATTGGCTCATTCACTTGCTTAAACTCAACGTTGATTCTGATTCCGCAGAACTGGGTTGGGTGTGGAAAAGTATTTGTTGTTAACATTCTTTTTTCATTCGTTTTTTTCTGTTACAAGTCCTTTTTTAAAGCTGATCATTTTGTGTTCATTTTGTTTAGTTCTTTTTTCGTAACAGATTTAATGTTTAGTATAGAGCTTAGAAAAAATTCGCAGTGTGAGATAGGCAAGAAGTAAGGCATGTAGAAACATCAGCACGGAAAAGGGCACTCCTTTAAAGGCAAGGAAGGGCAAAAATATTTTAAGTTAAGTGATAGCGATTGCTGTATGAGTAGTACGATTTTTGAATCAAGCACGGGCAACGCCGGGCCATGCTGCTAGTAAAAGGAACAGAAATTGATTAATTGACTGATCTTGAGAAGCAAGCTGTCCCCGTGAAGTTTGTGGTAAAAAACTAAATACACCTTTGGTGGGCTTCTTTTTGAAAATATAAAGGTATGCTGAAATCAACCAGTGACATGGGGAAGATGCAATTTATTTACATATTTTCAGCTGCTTTATATTGTTTACGTTGTATGCAGTGGACTCATAAACTTTCATCTCAAATCAAAATATTTAAAATGACGGGCATACTCACAAATCACAAGATGATAGACAAAATGAAAAACCCCACCCTCAGAAATATAACCCCCACGTTTGATAACGATCACAAATCCCGTGACCCATCCTAGGAGCACCACTGGTACCGCGACCGAAATAGTCATTTTCCAAGCGTAGCTCAGATGTAGCACAAAGCCGAAAGTATAGGGCACCCAGTGAGGATCGAACTCACTACTCAGTCGTAATAATTCTAGCGAGACAAGCTTGCTAACCATTACACCACATCACGTTGCCCGCACGTAAACGCTGTAGAAAAAGTATTTCTTGAGCAAGATAACCTGACGGAGCCCAACCTTCTCCAGGCTGGTTTGAATTCAGGGCTTTCTTCTTCTAGACTGGTTACTATAGAGCCCAGTCTATCGTATTAGCTGGGGGTGGAGATTAAGAGGATTCATAACATTCCACCGTTTATTAGCGCGTAAATGGACCCGACTGCAATTCTGCCCCGGCTCTTGGATTCCTCAATTCGAGCCACTAGCAATTAATTCACCGTGCAACGTTTGATAACATTCTTTGCAAATCCTTGAAACTATTTGAACATATTAAAAGATCAGGGCATGCGCATGGTTATCTTAAGAGTATGGTGTCTGGTGAAAGAAGTAGAAGCAAACCAAAACGGAATTGAATTGATAAAATAATTCTGTGGCTACCAAGTAGCAGATAAACTTATTCAAGATTGTAATGAATACTAGTAAATAAGTTAGGTTAGTTAGTGTTATGATGTTGATTTGGGGTTAGTAGAGCCAAACGCCAAATAACACGTAACAATAAAAAGGGTTTTAATAGGTTGGTAATTAGGTACAGAAATCGCCTAGTCAATAACTAGCTCAGCTAAGAAACTCTCTCTGTCTGTCTTTTGACATGCCACTGTTTTAAGTCTTTGTTCGCAGACCAGTTCATTTTCAAGAGGGGTGGTAGGTTTCCGACACAACAGTTAGCAATTTCTATCAGGTAGAAACTGCGACTAATTACGTTGAATGATGACACATACCGGAAGTAAGTAACAGACATGACTCAAGGCGAACAAGCAACAAGATAAACTCGCGATATGCGAAATAGAATAAGGCTACTGAAGGGAATAATCATAAGTTCTTATTTTCAGACAGCTCTTTAATTAATCCCTATTATTTAGAATCCGCAGTAGATTCATTTCGAAAATGAGAAACCTGTAGATAAGAAGGGTCAACGCTGCTTTACTGAGTTTAAACGTCAGTCAGTTAATCGCCATAGGTCTTTTCCAATTCATGACTGACTAAGCGGAGATATTACTGCAGTAGGTTGCCGTTTCTTTCTGCTTTAGACTGGTTGTGAACCAAAGACTATACGATCCGATCTCTCCTGGTACTCGACCCATAGTTTGGAGGAGAAGAGAGAGATATTTGCGCGTAAGTAGATCTAACGAACCCTACTTGAATTCGAACTCTGCTCTCCAATTTCTCATTCCGAGCCGTTATCCATAACACCACGGCGAAATCAACAACAAAACAAAACAAAACAAAAAAAAAAAAAAAAAAAAAAGGAAAGAACATTGCCGGTAGAAATACTTCCTACAGACATCCCACGGAATGTCTAGATGAAGACAAAATTGCCACGTATATAAGTTCACTAACGTCACATAAGTAGCAGATTAAAATGTGGGTCATATTTCTACTGCACCCCGTAGCTAAATGCTTTATCATTATTATTGCAACCTATGAAAATTACTGAATGAAGAATAATCAAAACGGAGGTTGGAAATTAAATGGTAATCTTTATAACATCAACAAAATACAATACTCGCCAGCGGCGTGGAGTAGGTAAACCACTGCTAGTGGCGGACTACTTAGGCACCATATTAACCCCACTTAGTGTCCAACGTAATTATGAGGATTGGGACATACCCATTAGTGTTCATATGTACGGTATATAACAGTTATGCAGGAGATATTCTAGGAGATTATGTGGGAGGTATTTCTGCCGCACCCTGTATAATTAAACTCGATTTCATTCCACCGAAGAATGAATTGTAAAACCCAATATTTGATCTAAAGGATATGTTACACCGGCAAAATTACTTGCCACATAATAGTAACACATTAGAAGATGATGACACTATTGCCTCTGACTTAAGTTCACAAGCACCACATAAATGACAGTTTAGTGACAGGGTTATTTCTGCTGGACCATTTACCTAATGTTTTACCATTATGTGTTAGATATTTCTGCCGTATTCTGTATAAATAAACTCGAATTCATTCCAATGAATAATGAATTTAAAAAAAAGAATATTTAATTTAAAGTTTATGTTAAAAGTTATTTTCACTGGAACAACACAGCAAAGCCCAAAATATTGCAAATTTAATTAAATCAAATTATTTCCTACTCACTGAATTGGAAAACTATTTTTATACAAGTAAAATGAATTGAAAAATATTTCCTGAGCAGGAGAAAAAATTGCGGTCAACTGCTTTTATGGCTGGGTCAAAAATATCCACGGCATGTTACTTTTGAAGTATACGTAATTACAGCTCTTTGCGTAGTCTTCAAAGTACGCATGTTCGTCCAAAGTTGCAACTTCCGGAGTTGTTAGGCGGCATGACCAGTACACCGTAAACAGGCGGCAGGTTGTCTGTCAATCGCATTCGACGTTTCCGATTCACTACTAATGAGACATCGAGATTCGATTTCCTTCTTCGCAGGAAGTTGTTGAGTGATTCCCTAATTTTGAACACGTAGAATAAAGTTGTTTTCCTGCTCGTGTTAACTTGCGTCCTGTGGCTCGATGCCGACTAGCGATTAACGAAAAGAAACGGTGTCGTCTTACGTCAATCACTGCCTCTGAAGAAACTCCGGTTTTCACTTGCTCTAATTGGAGTGACTTTTTCAAAGAAAAAAAAAAAGTTAAACTGCATGCATTCTCGTGTACAAGTCGATCTCTACAATATCCAAATTCTTCGATTTGATCAAGAAATCATCTAATTTATACGAATCGAGTAGATTTCAAATATATCTTATAGAATGGTAAAAAGAAAACAATTTTTCATGTTTTTTAAGAGAGGGACAATATTTAATTATAACAAAAAACACAAACATAATTAAAAGAGACAAAAAGGGGAAATCAATGATGTGGCTGGAAATATATAAAGAAACTGAGGCTATGCCTTCTCAGAAAGATGATGCACACGATTGTAGACACTAACGTAACGGTAAAGTTTATACAGTCGACCTTTTTCTAATAGACACTGGGGCCTGTTGAGATATTCTCTCCTCTAAAAGTTGGGTTGACCAGCAATGTTATCGATCCTGAAATCGAGTGAGATATTTCTTTATATTCGCCCTTTCACATGTTTCTTGCTTTTTTTCATACGTGATTTCATATCTATATGTAGGGAAAATTCGTTAAATGTAGATATATTTGTGTATAACATGTGGTATCATTTGGTCTTCTAGAGCTGCATATAAAAAAAGTCTCAGTTTTAGAATTCATTTTTATGTATCCTTTGATTTCTTCATTCCGTTTTGTTTAGGTGTTAGTATATTACGTGTTTATTAATGCTTACATTAATTATAATCGCTTTTTTTTTTCTAATTTTCTTTAAGACTTCGTCGTTGCTTACGTGTTCAGTCGCGGTTATTTCAGTAGCCTTCTGTAGAAGCACATTTTTATCTGTAGCCAGGTTGGTTGTATCCTGGCTAGAGCAGAAGTGAACAAATATTTGGAGAGTTGAGTTAAAGGGAGATAACTGATACTGAGACACCCGGAAGAGGCATGAAACATGGAACTAGAACAATCTACCTCCGTGGATGGAATAAAGGGTTTAGTTCGAAAATCTAATCAACTGAAGAAGCCCGGAATGTACAATGGCGGAAATGTTGTGAATATGGGAACGAAGATGAGGACAATAGCCTGAACAATGTCTTTAGTGTAAATAAAGAGTGAGAGTAAGAGTAAAGAGGAGTGTTTTGGCAAAGGATAAAGAGAAGGACAGGGATCAAGGTAACGGTATCAGAAGATGTCGATTGACATTACATTTGAATATTTGAAGATTATAGCTATTGGCAGAAGCTGTTGGAGTAGAAGAGATGGCTACATTTAGCCTTTTCGACAGTGAAAGGGTGGGATCGAGATGCCAACATAGTAGCACGTTTAAATTCATGCAGTTTGGGACTCAGTGAAAGTAGCTCGTCGGAGCATTTGCCATGAAAATACTTGTAAAAATGACAGAGGGAAGTTTAACTAATGAATTTTCTGATTTTTAAGGGCCACGCGAAACGAATCTTATATCCACTATTTAATTCTTAATTCTCGTCATGGCAGACACAATTTTCTAAAAACAAAGTAAAACGAAAAAAAAAAAAAAAGAAAGAAAGAAATATCAAAAACTAGTAAGAACGAGAAAAAAGAACAAAAACCTGATTAAAACCGCCAAACCTTTGTAAGGATACAGTTACAGCCCCACAATTTCCAGAGCATTAAACGATTTACCGTTTGCTCAAACCTCTTCTCCTTACGGCTAGCGGAAGCCCCACTCACAGTTCGACTTACAATATGATTTATACGCATGCGTGGTTGAGACGCTTAGAGCAATTGTATAAATCGAACGAGTGATTTTTTTTTTTTTTTTAAATCAGTTTTTCTCGGCGTCTAGGATAAAGCTTGCATTTGGGAAAATTTCCGATCTAAAACTGCATAGTAGATCACTGTCAGGAACGCGAAAATTAACACACCTTGCAAAGAAATTCACAGGCATTATGAGTTGGATTCCGTAAATGAGGTTATAGGCTAGACTGCCAGATATCTAATCTTGTTGGTGTCTAAATTGGGTGATGTTTTATAAGATCATCTCTTTGACTATTTGTATAGTTATTATGATACTTACTAGGAGACACACGTTTGTACTCTTGATCCAGACTAAGCTATGGTAAATTAATGTATAATAACGCTTAATTTAGCGCAATTGTTAGAAAGTTGGTCGGCCTGAACACTACGCTAGTTTAATGTATTTGGGTGTCGTGCGATATGTTTGCTTTGTAAATAATCAACGTAATGGCAATATTAAACATTTGCTTAGATAGAATCTTTATTGACGGAACAGCCAGTGTCATTGTCAGTTGAAACCATAAAAAATCTTTCTGCTAATAACATTCTTATGGTGAACAGATTTCTTAAGTGCACTAGTTTGTATCGCTCTTTGCCGAATTGATTCGCTCTTCCTTCTTAACTTTTTATTCGAAGGAATATACAGTGTAACCCGGATATAAGAGACCCGGATATAAGAAAAACCCGGATATAAGAGAGATTTTTATCTGGTCCCAAATTAGAGCCTGTGTTAATGTATATAAAATAGACCAAACCCGGCTATAAGAAAAACCCGGATATAAGAGACTTCTTCTCCGGTCCCGACAACTCTCTTATATCCGGGTTACACTGTAGAACATGAACTTATCCATTATGTCAATATGTTCTCTTTCCGCTGTTGCAAGTACTCACCTATCGTTTCTTTGTGATTCTGTAGCGCCAGCTAATGAGATTCAGAAAAGCCTTGTTCTCGTTAAGACCTACAGGTTCCATGCGCTATGACACATAATAAAGAATGATACTTTGGAAGTTGGTCCTCGTAGAAAACACGCTAGTACGATTCATTTGACTCTCAATGACTGTTGAATTACTGTAGTGATAGGTATATATCCATTTCATTACTAAGTCTCATAAGCCGTAAAAAATCAACTCACTCAATCAATAAAAAAATTCCTACTGTGTTAAGGTCAGTTTAATATAGAGTGTCCATACGCGTACATACAGATCAAGGAAAGATATTTCACAGTTAACGCTACCATTGATATGTGGGTGTCACTATCCAGAACCCTTCTTTTTTAGCGCACAGACGAATATGTTCCTCACTTCCGATATACCCGAGGCCGTGACCTTTTGTAGTTTAAAGAGATACCAGGACTTGATCCCAGTTAGAGGTCAATGAAGAGGGATGCTCAGCAAATAATTATGACTCTTAATTTAGCAAGCACTTGTTACTAATTAGTTATTTTAGAATGTTCCTCGCTGGGTGCCGCAATAATATGGTCTTTACTATACTATGATCTAAATGTAAATAATATCATCGGTACCATCAACCAGTTATGTGCCATGCGTAATACACGCTTAGGCGATCATGTATCGATAGATACATGACTGACGAGGTAGATTTTTCCCCGCAGGAGGTTACCATTTCTTTCTGCGGTAGATCAGTTACCAGCTAAGGCTATAGAAACCGGTCTGTGCTACTATTTGCACATATATGCGGGAGAAGAAGCAGATTCATACCTTTCCCAAGGGTATTAGCACGTAAGTGAATATAACGGATTCGACTGGAATTCGAACTCGGCACTCCGATTCCTCAATCTGAGCTCGCTATCCATTAAATCGTTTCACCGATCAGTTCGTTTGTATAGTATAATTCATCCACTCTGAATCGCATTTCTCGCGGGATTTACCGTGAACCCCTCACTGAATCAGGTTGTGACACAAGGACGGTTTTGAACGTGTGGACTTGAGTGTTTTCACTGAAGCCGCTGGTCTTAGCTTGTCTAAGCTTGACATTGCCGGTCATACCACCGCTACAGAAGAGATGTTACGGAACATGACTGAGGAATCTCTACACGCAACGAGGAAGGGAGAGACAAGGTCTCCGGCACAGGATAGATACTACAACAGCAGTATCTACTCCGACGAGAGGTTTCTCCGACTCCTGAATCGGTATTCTCTCGACTTGCACCAATTTAGCTTGCAATTGAGATAACCTGAAAACAAGGTCCTTAATAGAATTTACTTTAAGATTAACTATGAACATAATACAAATTAAATAAAATAAAGGAAGAGGCTATTTTGCCGGTTCCGTTATAAATAAACAAACGTACTTTTAAACTTATTTTACCGGTCTCAGTAAAATAAACTCCAGGCTCGCACCAATTTACCTTGCAATTTCTCAGCAAATTTTCGTATGAGAGCGTTGGCGAACTTGCAATTTAATAAGCTTAACATTATAAAAGTAAATGCCAAATGATAGTGAAAAAAGGCGGTGTAGGAAGAATACATTCCCTTAGTCTTTTCAGATTCAGATTTTAATTAGAATTGAAATTTTTTGCTTTTGCCTGAGAACGAACACTAATCTCTGGCACCAGCACGAATTATGAAAGTAACCCGGTGGCAGCTTTAATTAAAGAGGTATTTCAAAAGCATACGTTATTGTAGTATGTAACTGATAATATATATATATATATATATATATATATATATATATATATATATATATATATATATATATATATATATATATATATATATATATATATATATATATATATATATATACTTTTTATGTCAACGTCTTTAAAATTAACTAAGTTGGATAATACAGTAGTTTTATTTTTAGTTTGCAATGCAAGACAGTGATGTTTGTTTTCTAATCGTAGCTTGATGTGACACAAGGTCGAATGTATGAGCACCCAGTAGGGATCGAACTCACTACTCAGTTGTAATTGTTCTAGCGAGAAAAGTTAGCCCACATCGAAGTCTCCAAAATATAGTGAATTTCTAATCGTAGCTTAGATGCGG